AAAGACTTCTTATGTTCAAATAGCCTGTCATAAAATTGCTATTATACTGGGAACATATTTGTATTCATTTACTTATCAAATTTATATAGCTGTCTATATCATTAAGAAAAATTATGGGCTGTGTGAAATGTACAGCATTGTATGTCAATATATTGTATTTATTTTTAATTTATTTGTAATATTCAGTAAATTCCTCTTTGCCTTATGCATGAAAAGTAATGATTTATAAACAACGTTGAATTGTGGGCCTGACTTAAAGTGAACATCCTTTAAATATATAACTTCCTACAAACATAGCCTTGTTAAGAACCATTTCCTGCATTCCAGTCTCTGTGTTGCTGTGGTTTTAGCTATAAAGTTGAATGCTGCTTCTTTATTTCCACTTTAATGTCAGGATGATGGATTGTGAAATCCCTAATTAACTTTGATACAAACATGTAAAGAAAATAATTAACCACATGAAAAATGGTCCTAAGACATCATTATTATTAATTTGCTAGGGAAGTAATTGTAACTCAGAATAAACATAATCCAAAAATCTTTCTGGATCACATATTTTGTGGGGTAGCAAACAATGCATTTATTTACGTTTGCAGCTGAAAAAAATTAATCCATTTAATTCATGCAGGCATTTGCAGTTAAATATGGAAAATAGAATATTGTCTGAATGATCCTTACAACACATAACTGAGTACTTAGGATCAGTTCCAAGGATGGTTTAAGAATATAAAGGATAAGAAGAAGTCCAATGTTTAATAATGGTATTCTAAAAGGATCACCTACATTTAAAATGCTTTCTTTGTAACTAATCACATGTGGTCAAAAATATTTAAGACTGCAATACAATATTTTTTGAAGAGGTACATAAGCAGATGTTTCAGTTGTCCCAAGACCTAAAATAGTTTTTGAAAAAGTTAATGGCACATTTGCCCTAGAGTGTAAATCAGTGTTATATACAAGCCTTCTATTAAACTGTATCAAGCAATTCAAAGCATTCTCTACAGGAATGATCCCATCAAACTTCTTTGTATATCCAATAGAATGGATATAAACAAAGAAGAGAATTAAGCTCATAATAGAGGTTAAACTTGAAAAATTAGAATATNTGTCAGCTTGTTTTTTGTATGACTCTGCTGCTTCTACTAGAGCTCGCTTCATATTTTCCCATCCCTGTTTTAGCGATTCCATCCATTCGGCCAGGGACATAGACGAGGATGGCTCTCTGGGCAGCTCAGGTATGGGGACAAACTCCATACTGCTGGGGACCTGGAAAGGGGTCAGTCCAGTGCTACTGTGCACCATTTTGTTGTAAGCCACTTCCGTGAAGGGCAGCAAGTCTGACTAACTGGATTGCTGATAATCCACATAGCATCTTAAGTACTGCTCTACCATGGCGTTCAGTCATTCAGCTGCCCCATTTATATGGATGAAAACCCAAGCTAAGCCCCTGGGCAGACCCTATAGACCTCAAGAACTGTCTCCAGAACTTTGTGTGGACCCAAATGCTGGCGACCTTGTATTTGGGCAGCCTATCTCCATCACGTGGTGCTGGTTGGGGAGTAGACAGGCAGGCCATTCAGGAACAAGGAGGGTTCGATGAAAGACCAGATTGACATGCATCAATCCTGGCAAGGTCAGGCGGTAGGCGACCAGGTTGATGACCACTTCAATGGGGAATGGGCCAAGGTACCGGTGGTCTAATTTCTTGACTGGCCGGTCTGATAGAAGGCGCTTCACTTTTCCAATTTTGTGCAAATACAACCCTATCTGCTGTTATAACATCAATAATCAAATACACATTTTCTTTACTATAATTTTCTGGTAAAATCCCCAGCAAAAATATTTCAGGTTTTAAGTCAATATGTTGTTGTATCATTTTTTCCAGCCATGTATGTATTTTAGTCCAATTTTTTTTTTTGCTTCTGCGCAGGTCCACCACATGTGATAATACAAGCCCAGTATCTGGTGGCATTTCCAACATTTAGCTGATTTATCTTTAAATATCTTTGCCAGTCTTGCCAGTGGCCAATGCCATCTATAAAACATCATACAAATTTTCTTTATATGCAGTTGACATTGTTAATTTATAATTTCTGTCCCATAGTTGCTGCCATTTAGCTAGTTCTATCGTATAACCAAAGTTTTTAGCCCAAGCTATCACTTTTTCTTTCACGTGTTCTTTTTCTAATTTAATAGAGTTTTTCTATCATCCTCTCTTCTATTCTTGTTAATATCTTATCTAATTCTGTCAATTCCGTATAAAAACCATATAATTTGGCATCTTTTTCATACCTAGATTGTATTTGCAATTGTGTACACCAATCCATATTGATCCCTTGTTTTTCTAGATCATATTTAGTTTTAAGCTCCCCTTTTTCAGTCAGTATATCTTTATATCTCACAATGTTTCCCCTATTCATAATATTCGGACGTATTAACGTTCCATCGTTGAAAGCCAGACTGGTATCTTTAAGTAATGTTGTTCTCTAACTTTCTCCCAAATAATACATTTCTTGTATAATGTCTTTGAAAGTACCCATGTATCTTATTTGTCCCACACCATAAAAAGGCATGCCAACACAATTGCAAGTCATGTCCCTCCAATGTCAATAATCTTGTATTTCTCAATACAATCCATTCTTTCATCCACATTAACACCACTGCCTGGTAATATAGTTCCCAATTTGGTAGTCCAAAGCCTCCTCTCATTCTTGCGTCCTGTAACAGTTTTAACTTGTATTTTTCATATTATAAGATGTACCTGACTATAAGACACACCTAAATTTAGAAGAGGAAAACAACAACAAAAGGTTTTTGGTCTCTGTGCACCGCATTTGGGGCCTTTTTTCGGCCCTTTCCAAACCTTTTTTCTACCCATTTTGAGGGTTTTTTGAGGGTTTGGGGGCACTCTTGGGGGGGGGGGGCTTTTTGGCCCATTTTGAGGGCTTTTTGGCCCATTTTTGAGGCTTTTTTCAATCCATTTGTGAGCCTTTTTTCCAGTCTATTTTGAGGCCTTTTGCAGCCCATTTTTGTGGCCCATTTTTGCAGCTTTTTTAAAGGCTTTTTTTTGGCTCATTTTTTCCACGAGCCCCTCTGTCCGAAACGACCATTTCAGGTACACTGTGCAGCCAGAAGACATGTTGGATAAACATGTGGGCGGTGGCGCGAGCCGTCAGTAATGCACGACACGGAATGAAGTGTGCCCTTTTCGTCACCATGTCTATCACCACGAACAGTCATAAATCCAGAAAATCAAGAAAAGGGAACCAATTTCCTGGTGGTCTGCAGGAACTCCAAATTTTATTTCCAAGGGAGAGTTTCGCAAGGAGCGCAATCGGAGGCTGAGATCGAGTCCCTCCAGTGTCCCCTTCACGCCGCTGCCGCTTTCCCTGTTCAAGCGCTAAAAAGAGCAACCAGAAAGTTACAGAGAGCGCCGGTGGAGGGAAAGGAGGGGGGAATCCTCCGCTGGACGAGGGCTACTTAAAGAGCTGGGTGATGGAGAGGCTGTGATCGCAACGTGCGTCCTCTTGTTTTTATTTCTTAAGGTATAAGTAAATCCCTCCTTTTAGTAGACGGCGGAACTCCGCCCTCCACTTGTTCCGGTTATGTTACTTTCGTTTTTCCTGGTGCTTCTGTATACTTAGTCTTGAGAGGTTGTTGTGAGTAGTTTCTGATTACTTTAAAAAAATAATAGTATGGAATTAATATGTGGACCACCCCATGCCTGCCGGTTCTCCCCCCTCCCCCCTCCGCAGCCATCTTGTAGACGGGAGGATTTCAGGGCGGAATTAGCGGACAGGGAAGAGTTTGCAATCAATCTTGCCGTGATGGAAGTGCGCAATACGCGCAAAGGAGCCGCGTAAACTTACAGACACATTCAATATTTGAAGTTCACCGTTTAAAGAGGAGGGTGGATGGGTCGGTTTTTGCTTAACTTTGACTTCGCTTTCTCCCTTTATCTCTTTCCTCCTTACTATCTTCCCTTGTCGGGATTTGGAGGTTATCTCTTTTGGGGGGGGATATTTGTAAGTATGTGCCAATTTCTATTTAGCCATACACCATGGTATTAATGGCGTACATATAAAAGTCCTGTTTGCATGGGAGTCTTCCTGGCTTCTTATGGGTGCCAGGAATACAGCTCAAGAAAGAAGTAGCTTCTTCTTAAGGTCTGTACAAATCCTAATCCTAACTAGTGGGATTAATTGGGGCCATTGGGCAGTGTTTTAAAAATCCCGAGCGTTATTAGATGTCGATGGCAGTTAGAACTTTACTGTATCACTTCAATCCTTTTTGTGGTTGTCCGGAGTTTTGTTAGAAAACCGAGGCTGGTGGTCAAGTTGTGTTCTGATAAGAAACCACACCACATCAAGGAAGCAAAGGTGGGATGCAGATCATTTCATGAGCTATAAGGCATAATCATCACAATTATGACAAATCATGGCTTGAACTATCTTGCTTTGTATGTAATGAGTCTATCTCATATATTAGTTTCACCTTTTAAGTTGCATTACTGAAATAAATGAACTTTTGCACAATATTCTAATTTTTCGAGTTTCACCTGTATATAGACCTCGAACTGTTTGCTGGTGGAGGAGGCAGGATTACATAGTTGATGATCATAGAACATAGAATAATAGTAATAGTAATAACCATATGCATTTAAGGCTGGAACATAATATATGAGATAGACT